AAAAAAGTTGGATATAACGTTTGTCAATTGAATTAAATTACTTTATGTATTAAGAGATTTTCAAGAAAAAACACGAAATATTACAATTCATTCGTTTTTACAGTCTTAAGTAATTTTTTATACATATAAAAACAAAGACATTTAAAAATTGTATGTTATAGGTAAATAAAAAAAATTTCCAATCTACATTTTTTCAGCAATATAAATGAAAAATGACATTTATTTTAATAAAAAAGTGATTACTTCTATTATTAGATATCCTGAGCCGGACTACTCCTTCCACCTAGATATAAAGTAGTAATAAAATATCTTCTCAAATAACGGTTCAAAAGTTGTTATCGTACAGTAAGGATTTTATAAAGATTTAAGGGATATGAAAGGGGAAAATGAACAAGGTTAAAAATAAATAAACATACATAAATCAATACATTTTTGAAAAAAAAAAATTTCTGTTATCTCCCGTTACATATTTGGGGTTTTAAATTTCGATAATTGTTGTGTATTTTAGAGTTAGGAATTTTTAATATTTAAATTATACTACAAGGTTGAGACACTGAATAGAAAATATCTTGTCTATTTAATGGTCAAGACTAATTTTTAATTTTGGAGTAGGTGAATTTATAGTACCATTATTTTTTAAATTAATGACCAGTGCTGCCAACTTTCCAATGTATTGAGTTCTACAATTTAAAATTTTAACGGTTTTAAAAAAGTCAATTTTTAATAGATATGTATTCTTATCGCATTCGTCTTTTTTTCATTTAAGTAGAGTAAACTTTAGGGAGAATTCTGATGGCATCCTGAACTTTTTGGATTAATGCATCTTGTAATTCTCTGTTATGATTATTTTGGTTGTCTTAACAAAATTGCAGAGAGAAGTTAACAATTTTTTTAAAGTAACGTATAAAAATAGTTTAAGTCAATTTATGAGTCAAATAATACGTATATANTAACGTATAAAAATAGTTTAAGTCAATTTATGAGTCAAATAATACGTATATATTATTCAATAAAATATGATATCAGAAAAAGAATGAAAAATTGTGCTCTAATATATATATATATATATAGCTAATCTGGTTTTGATAATTTTAAAGTGTTGTATTTTTATTAAAATGTATTCTGCTATTTATGTTTAAAAAATCTGATATAAACTACAAAAATAATTTTTATTTAAACAAAAGATAAAGACTATGATATTAGGATATTGACCAGGTCTAATCAATGTACTCTTTGTATATTTAGAGCAGTGAACAAGATTTTGCACTAGATTACATCTTTTTCTAGTATAATATTTTGGCTAATGGTGATTTGTATATTTTAATGTCTGTTTATTATTAAATTCTAAAAAATAATTTTTGTTTACTTTTACAGTAATAAATTTTTGATTATTACAAATGGAAAGAATAAAAATAAAAAATCAAAGTAAAGGTGAGATTATTTTTATAAAGTGAATAATTTCTGATTAACATTGTTAAAATTGATATTTACTGATTATATATATGTATTATTACATTTTATATCCTAATCATTACTAAAAAATGTAATAAATAAATGTAAATGTCAGTAAAAATTTCTATTGAGATATGGGGTATTACTACTTAAACCAATCAGTTATTGAAAAATATTAATTAAAAAAAAATTTAAAGTAGAATTTTGAAAGAAGCTGAAATAATTTTAGCTTTTTTTTCTTTGTCTATTATAATTATTAATTCCCAATATTATATCTAAAATTTCCTTTATGTGAGGTTGTTTAATCATACTCCCATAAATAAATCATTATTTCTGCTTTCCTTGTAAACATATATTAACATTTTTATACTATATAATAGTTTTTGAAATAAACAATATAAATTTTGGTAATATTGTATAAATCTACTTTATACCCTTTTTTTTTTCAAAATTTTTTTTTTTTTTTTACGTTTGTTTTTTATGCAAATTAAGAATATGTAAAAAATTTTGAGTGGAATCGTGTGGGTCAAAAGTTATAGTGCTTTAAAATTGCGATTGTAGTTAAATAATATAGGTTATAAAAATCAATAATTTTTCTTTAAAGTTATTTTGTTTTTCTAGCTTAAAATTTTATTCCAACTTGAGAAGCATTTTTATAAACATAATATTAATGAAACATTGATACAGTGTTAAATGGTAAGTTTCAAGCAGAAGGTTGTCAACGGGTGGTCGTTTCATAAAACTAGCAAGTGTCGCAATCTGTTATCTTTATAACAATACATAGTGTGTATGTTAAGCATCGTTATGTACAACTATTTCAGGGAGTAATAAGGATATACTGTATTACTGTTGTGCAAAGTCGCACTCAAACCAACAAAGATGCAAATATTTTAAATAGTATTAAATTGAATACTAAAATTTCAATATCAATTGTAATTAAATTTTTTTATTATTTCTAACAAGTGTTATTTAGTATACCTAATATAGAGTAAAAACTTTTCTTTTCATGTTTTATTGAACAAACTACAAAGACATACCACATTGTGGTCTTTTTTTTTGCTCAACTTAAATTAATTGGGTTTCATGTAATTACGTAATCACTCATACCCATTTTTTTGTATTGTATACGAAAATTAAGTAATAGCTCTATGAAAAACCCATTTTTTTTTTTGTATTGCGAATTTTGGGAGGGAGGAAAGAAAAAATTGGAAAATTCTAATTTTTTCCAAATTATTTTTGGTTTTTATGTTTTTTTAAGAGAGAAAATTACTTATGAGTTACGTCATTGTTTCACAATATTTTCATGAAAAATAAACCCGAAAATTAACAAAAAAAAACCAATTTTGGAGCTATTTTTAATCTTATGACGTATAAACTTTAAAATGCTATAATTTTTGAACCAAAAGTTTCCCCCAATTTTTTCAAACACTTTTGAAAAAAAAAGGTGTCCCGTAAAGTAGATTTGTTCCGGTAATATAATTAATGTCATTTTAAATTATTAAATAAAAAAAAAATTATCCCCATATTAAACATAACTTACTGTATTTACTAATTATATATATTTTTTGATAATTGTAAATGTTAAACCTGCAAATATTGAATTTATTTTTGATTTTATTTATATATTTTCCAGAAAAATTGACATTATGTACCAGAGATAATAAAAATTCAGGAGAAAATATCAATAGAAATAATATGACATATTATAATAATGTTAATATTGATGAATTCTATTCTTCAGATTCTAGTATAGAATTAATTGATGTTTATAAATCTAAGACAACCCACTTAAATTCAAAAAACGATTTAGACAACACAAATTTTATTGAATATATTGATTTAACTAATAATGCAACCTTAAATTTGAAAAATAATGATAGTTATGCAAAATTTGATATTTTTAATATCAAAAAAAATTCAAGCATACAGGATTTGACTGTTAATAGTTCTAACTCTGAAGAAAGCTTTAAATCTGCTTCTAGTAGCAATTTAGAAAAAAAAAGTGATTATATAGCTTCAGTAAAATATCCTATTGTGTCGGAAAAAGAAAACAATTTAATTGACACTGAAAATAATTTTTCTACGCCTAATAAATTAGCTATTCAGCTAGATAGATTATCTGAATCTGCAAAGGTTTTGGATCGTTTATATGGTCGTCAATGGAGAAAAATTGATGGAATATTCAATATTCCAAAAAAAGACATTAAAAAAAAATTGTTTGAAAATGATAATGAGTAAGTTAACAACACTTGAAAAATTTATTTACATAGGTAATAATTTTAATTTTGGTTGTATAAAGACCTCATTGAAACTTTATGAAGTTACTACATATACATTAAAAATATCCACCTATTTCACTTGTGTGATATAAAATGTTTTTATTTACTACTTAAAACTCTTATTTCTATATATGAATATAAATACCAGATATGTCACAAAAATATGACCAATTCAATAACTTGATTTAATCAACATTTTACATTACTCTCTTTTTTTTTTTTTGTATTAATTATTTCACTTTTAGTTTATAGTTTTAATGTAATATATATTTTAATTTATGTAGAAATAGTAAAAAATTTTAAATGTACGTAAAATTTTTAAAAATAGCTATTTTGTGGAATAAACTTAAAGAAAACATTTGGTACCAATATATTTTATTAATGTTTTGTAGTTAAATTTCTAGAGTATTTTAAAGTTTGTAAATATTATAATTTGTTTATTTATATTTTATGGTTCCAAAAAATTAATAAAAATTTATAATTAAATAAATGTGATCATTTATAATATGATTTTTTCATGAAAAAATTGTATACCAATAACCAGTATTTAACTTAAAAATATTTTATATACTTTATCATTTTCTTTATAAAAAGTACTCACTTGGTGCTGTGAAATTTATGTAAAATAATTTTTATTTTACTAAAAAACTTTGAGTTAAATTAAATCATGAACTAATTGCATAACATAAGATTTGTAATGTTTACTTTTAAACTTTTTTTTATTCTCCATTGTATAGAAATTAAATTTTTAAAAATAACCATTTTAAATTTAAATATAATTTTTTTTAGAAATTCATCAGAATCAATAATTGACAGCAAATCTGAAAGTGAATCTTGCTATATAAATTATAAAGAAAAAGGAAAGGCGAATCTTACACCTACTAAAAATATTCAAAAAGAACTGGATCTTACTTCTGAAAGTTTTATGTAAAACAAATTTTTTTAAATTATTTATATCTGTACTCAAAAAGTAAAAGGATTTATTATTGCTTTTCAAGAAAAGCTTATAATTATTTTTTTTCTCATAAATCTCTACTAAAACTTCATTTAATTTATTAATAAATCTGTTAATATATATCATATTTTAAATAAATATCAAATGCACAGTGAAATTTTCCATGACAAAACACTAATTAGTGAAATTTAATGAATGTAAACTTTTTATCCTTCTGCTTATTAGGTACAGAAATAGTTTTCAAATTTTTTTTTTTTTATTGGGAGTTAATTTAATTTTTAATATTTTACTATAGTAATTTTTATGCTTGAAACCTAATTTCTTGTAAACTTCACTAAAAAAATCATTTTAAAATAACTTTTAGTATATCTCTTCTTTTTTCTCGCCTTAATCCCAACTACTTAGGGTTGGCCATCGTTATTCTAAACTTCTACTTGACACGATCACCTACATTATCTGCACTCACATCAGCCAACCTCATAACGCATTCAATTACATCCCTCCATCTCTTTTTTGGTCTTCCTCTACCTCTTCTTCCTTCAACACTCATTTCTATAACTGTTCTTACCGCTTCCGATTCCTCTCTCATAACATGAATAAATCATATCTTAGTTTATTTTCTTTCATCTTATCTATGATTGACATTACACTTATACTCCCTCTTATACGTTTGTTCCTTATCCTATCTTCTCTAGTCACTCTACTCGTCTATCTAAGCATTCTCATCTCTGCTATACTTTCTTGTGAACCGCCCAACACTATGAACCATAAGTCATTGTTGATCTCACTACAGTCTTATAGAATTTACCTTTCAGCCTCATTGGAATTCTTTTATCACATAACAGACCAGACACTTCTTTGCTAAATTAAAGAAAGGAAATAATCCTTTGTTTACTTTTTTTTTATGCACTTAGTTCTCCCTAATTTTTATGTGTAGCTAAACTGTAATGTATACCATAATTTTGAATTACCTTTTAATTTTCAATAATATTACCAAATAATAACTTTAAATTTAATAATTACTATCAAAGTTTCAATGTTAATATTTGTTTAATGATTATAGGAACATCAGTCTTTCAGACGCTAGAATCGATTTTAATTTTTCAAATAAACAAGATGATGTTATTCCATTATCATCTACTTTAAATAAATCTGGCTCACTGTAAGTAATAAAACAAACTAACAATATCATATTTTTATTATTAATATGATTACAACATGTTATAGCTTCGATGCGATGCTGAGAAGGTATTAATTTTACTGTTTTTTTTTTTTTTTATGTCTGTTACCACTCAATCTCAGCTCTCACTACACATATTTTGATGAAAAATATGTCAAAAGATCACAAATCCTATCTAGTCGTAGACATTACCCTCAAAATTTGAAAAAAAAATTCCCTCGTTCCATGTAAACGGAAAAATCCCCCAAAAAATTACAAATTTAAAAATGGCTAATTTTCAACATTTTGTCAAATTTTTTTACTTAAAAGTGCCATAACTTTTTTAAAAATAACCGAATGATTATATATTTGTCTTTTATAGATACCTTAGGTATTTTATATATTTTTGTGAACATTTGACTCTTTACCAGCCCACAGGATGGGTTTCAAAATGGNTGTGAACATTTGACCCTTTAACAGCCCAAAGGATGGGGTTTCAAAATGGTAACTTTTTTACAAAAAATTAACTTTTTCAACTTAACTTTTGAAAATGTTCCGGAAAGACTGACACTTTTATATATACCTTAAATTAAAGCTAATGTAATATACTTTAATTTGAAAAAAAAAAATTTGACCTCTGCATTTTTCTTCATGGTGAAAATGACTACCATATTCAAAAATATGCTCTTTTTGTATTAAAATTCTGGGTTTTGTATTTTATTTTATTTTAAAATACATAACAAGAAGGGGAGTACACTGATTTCGATAAATATTATATAAATAAAATTGATATAGCATAGAAAGTTCTTGTTCATATTAAAATTATTTTACTATATTTTAGGTTTTAGCTTCGATGCAAAGCTAAGAAGGTATTTTTTTGTGACTATCATTTATTTTTTTTGCTTTAATATGACCTACTTTTTTCAACGATACGTCAAATGACTACAATTTGTATCTAGTTGAAAATATTACACATAAAAATTGAAAAAAAACTCTAATTTATCAATTAAACAATTACTTATCCCACGTTCTCCATACAGACAATTAAAATCATTTATAATGTTTTCAAAGTATTTATTGACGCATTAAGTTCGATATGATAGGTTTCAAATACAAAATGAAATCATTTTACTTTGTAATTTAATAATTTTTTTACTCTAATTGTGTATGCTACTATTAGACTATAATATTCCAAATTTGTCGGTAACATGTTGCTATATAAATCATTTCTAAAAAAAATGATTATTAGTTTCTCCTGAATTAACAATGGATTTTTACAATTATAATCAAATTTTATAATACGCCCAATTGAGTAAATTTTTTTAACAACTTTGTTTTTATAGATTCATTTAGTTAAAGTAAATTATTAAAATTAAGTTCTGAATATTTCAATTGCAGAATCTTTTTAAACACCAAAAGTTATTAGGAAATGATTACTATTACTTCTATTTAAGTATCTATTACAATAAAAATGCAAAAAAATATTGAGTTATTCTGATAAATTTACTATAAATAGTATTTATAAAATTTTAAAACTGCATATTAATCCTAACAATATAATTTTTATAATTCCCATAAAGTTTTCTATTTAATGATGTCAATTTCAAACTTGCCAATTGAACTAAAGGTATGGTAAAATAAATGATTTTTTATTTTACTTTAAACATTCACAGAATCAACTTTAAGTGATTAAAAAAGTAGGTTAAATATGTCATTTTCCTTATTTTTAACATAATAATAATCAAAATCAGTATTAATTTAAAACAATATTTTTTTGTTCTTAATTACTTTTTTTTATATGCAAATACTTATTTTTTAATAATAAGTAATAATATTAAAACTTAGAAGTAATAGAAAAAGTTTAATTGTGCATTTGAAAACATCACAAAAAGTTGATTTAGAAAAGTATATTTTTGTTTCTGATGAAAGTTCCTTGTAGTCTAGTGAGTTTATTCATAAGTAACAAAAATTTTTTATTAAAAAGTATTGCATCAATCCCTTTAAATTTTTATACACGTTAAAAGTAAAGAAATATACAACTCCTTTTTATTTTTATAATATCTCTGTAAAAATGACAATAATATGTTATTGAATATCAATTTCATACTAAATTTAATTAGTATTTATTCATATGTTATATTTTTAAATCAAAGAACCACTAATCAGGATATAATTAAGGAAATAAATGTTGATGTTGCTTTTGTAATTATCCACCAAGTTCTTGTAATTAAACACTATATACAGATTTGCATTGAAGAATTTCATATGATAGTGATTTTAATCACTGTCAGATATTATCTATACTTGTCTTAACTATCCTACTTTCACACTGTGTTGTGCCCCATTGTGCTACCCATTTTTTTGTGCTTATCAAAATGAGCTGTGTAAAATTTGGGTCCAATGTTTTATGGTTATCCCTGCCTCTGGGCTTCTTAAGTTTATTTGATGTTACAATTTTAATAGAAATAAAAGATTTATTTGATTACTTTTTTTTTTTACTTATCTATACTTTTCCCATCTATGCCACGTCCACACTATGCCTCGTTTTCATTTTAGTATGATCATAATCATTCAAAACGGCTACATACTTATTTAAAATTTATAACTAATAAAATTTTATTTATGGTATCAGAAGAAAATTTGGAATCCTTTAGTTAATTTATAAAATTGAATTATATTTACTTAATATATTGAATAGCATATCAAATATTAAACTTAAATGATATAAGGTATCAAAGTAAATATTAAATGAATTTCAAAAAAAAAAGTACCTTATATTATATTTAATTAATTATTCTAGTTTTATAATTATTATTTATATATTTATGTCTTACGTCCTCTTTTAAGATCTATTGTTCATGCCAGAAAGCATAGAAAATCTACTTAGCTTATTGCAATAGTATCTAACCTCTGTACTTATACAACGAGGCACGATGCATTAAGCAAAGTAAGCAACAAATGTAGAAATCTTTTTTTATAGAATATTTCCAAAAAAAAACAAGACCCAAGAAATTTGTTTGTTAAGCAAGCCATTACCAAAAAAAGAATTGAAAAATGTTAAATCAGAAAATAGTGATTCAATGCTGTCTTTTCTTAGTTCACTCTCATGTAAGGATCATTAACTTAATTATTTGCATATTCAAATATTTTTTAATTAAATTATTTCATAAATACAAATATCTGTTGTTTTTTAGCATCCTTTTTTCATAAATGCATAACAGTTTTAATTTTTTTTTTTTTTTTCATAGGTTATAACGGCTCATTAAAATGTCACCCTGAAGCTGAAAAATATAAATTTAAATTTAAAAAGAACAAAGATGACTTAGTATCTGCATTATTTGATTTGTTCAATAAAGAAGTGTTTGAAAATAAGGTATTTATTTAACTTATAAAAAGTTTAATAATGATTAGATCCATCTATCTCCCAAACTTAACATGTGAAAGAGGGCCACCCCTCTTTCACATGTTAGGGAGACAAAGAAGGTTCTAATCTAAGCCAATTATGGACGAGACGGATATTATTTATTAATAGAAAAAATATCTAAAAACTTTTTAAATATAAATGTTAAATTAGTAGGTTAAAAAGCTTAGTGGTTTACAATTCATTAATTATATAATTCTACTAATTATTTTAATTTACAATATAATATAATACTTCCAACTAAATAGTAATTGATATATTTTATTTCTATTGTAAAATTTTATCCCCCTGTATATATAAAACATTTTAATTAGTATAATATTTTGTTTTATTAGTTGTAAGTTTCCTTCGTCTGTACTTCTGGTGGTTTTCATATTAATAATTTTTTATTGTTTTTTCATTAAGTGTATTTTCATGACTGTTTTTTTTTTTCCCATAAAGTGCTATACTGTAAGAATTAAAGTTTTCTTAAATAGTTCATATGTACAACTTTTATCAGCGCTATATTGCTTCAATATGATTCTGATCAAAATCTATCCACCACAATAAGTGAATCAAGCTCATTTTTATATGCACAACCTCATGCAATAATTCCATAATTTAATATTAATTGTACAATAGCAAAATAAACAATTATAATATTGTTAACATCTATAATTTGACACAATTCCTTAGAGATATAAAAACATTTTCTCATATGCATTATTAAATTTTCATAGTGAAAAATCCACTTCAGGTGTTCATCAAATAATACTATTTAATATTATGTAAATTTTATTCTACCTAATACTAACAGTTATTCTGGATATATTTGGACTTTGTTACAATAGATATACATAGACAGTAATTGATATATCAACTATTTCAACTGCGTTTTCCAGACTATTTTATTTTTAACAAAACAAAATATTTAAAAATATATATACGTTTTATAATGCTATAAATAAAATATTATATTTAAATGGTATCTATTGCATATATTGTGTAAAAATACTCTAAAATATTTAAAACCTTTATTTAGCTATTCTATAATTTGTTAATGGCATGTTGTCCAAGGTTATTAAAAATTTAAATACTATTATTGTGACCATAGAAATCATTTAAAAACAGCATTATTCTTTGTCAGATTTTAAAATATTTTTCAAACTCTTAAATTAGTAGTTACTTAATAGTTGTTAAGTTTTACAAAATGAACATTTATTAAACTTTTTGATTTTAGCTTCCTGATGATATGAATTTTAAATGGAATGCACGATTAAGAACAACTGCTGGAGCTTGTTTTAATAGACGTTCAGTAAAAATTAATGAAAATTTAGATTGTGTTCGAATTTCCCGAATTGAGCTTTCTTCAAAGGTAATGTATTTAAATAATACTTTCTAATAATTTTCTATTAAAAATAATAAATGCACTTATAATATTTTCAAGGTTTTTTTTTTTTTGTGCAGATAATTGACACCGCTGAAAGACTGAGGGATACATTGATTCATGAACTTTGCCATGCTGCTTGTTGGATATTTAATGGTGTAGCTGAAGGCCATGGACCAGCTTGGAAAAGTTGGGCAAATAAAGCAATGAAAAGATTCCCTGAGTTGCCAATTATTAAAAGATGTCATAGTTATGCAATTCAAACAAAATATACTTATAAATGCATGAAATGTGGTTATAGGTATATTGCTCTAAGTTAATTGCTTTATAAATACAATTAAACCATATTTTTAAATATTTTGTTTAGATAATATTTTTAAATTATAAACTGAAATTGAATTTGACTTAAACTTAAAAAAGTGTATAATACCATATTTTATATGGGGAAATGATGTATTTAAAAAAAAAAATGTACTATTAAAATTTAAAATCAATAAACTTTTTGTTTGCATTTCAGTATTGGACGACATTCCAAATCATTAAATTTGGAAAGAAAAAGATGTGGTTACTGTTATGGAGAATTTGAATTGATTGTCAATAAAATGAATAAAAATCCAACTGTTAATATTAATTTGCAAGGTCTTCAAACTGATCCTCTAAAAGAATTGTATAAAATAGATGATAAGCCACAAACTAATAAACTTCCACGAAAGCCATCTAAGTTCGCAATTTTTGTAAAAGAAAATTATGGAAAAGCAAAACGAGAAAATCCACTTTTAAAACATGGTGAAATCATGAAAATTCTTGGATCTCAATTTTCAGTAGCTAAAACTTTAACACCTGATGATATATTTGACAGATTACTTGATAGTTAATTAATTGTTCCATATATATAATTTGACAATATTAATTATTAGAGCGAAATTTATTGATATTTATATTGATTTTTTATATAAGTACTAATTAAAAAAATATATGAAAAATAAATAATTTATATATATATAGTGATTATAATAGGAGTATTAAAAAACAATTTTTCTTGTAAAACTCAACTAAAACTGCTAATTTAGTTTATCAATATTTTTGTTTATATAATGTATAAACAAATGATGATATATTATATCATCAACCTCATTTCATGTACTTTATAATACCCTCCTACACTTATAGTTTTTTTTTTTAATAAACTATTTTTTCATTATTTGATGAGCTTAGGTCATATTATTGAAAGATTAAATATTTTCTTGAAACAAACAAAGAAATTATAATTAAGCTATCAGTAAGTTTAAATCAATGCCTGAGAGGCAAAAGTTCTATTTCCACTTTTTAAAGTACTATCTTATAAACTTTTACTGTGTGTATTTTCACCTCTCTTATGCTCTTCATTTTAATAAAATGATATAATCGCGTTCATTTAATATAAATTTGAAAAAAAATCTTTATGTGTAGGAGGGTATTAAAAAGTATGCATGTGAAATCACTTTACATTTGAAATGAGGTTGATGATATAATATATCATCATTTGTTTATACGATTATAAAGTCAAGACATGTCGAGGTTTGTAATTAGCCATTAAGCCAAAAAAAAAATAGATGTAAAATTATTTATGTTATTTTTAAAAATATAATCCAAATAATTTTTGGAACTATGAATATTAGACTTGGGATATACTGGAAAACTTGCCATGACCCGATGGATTAATAAAATCTGTATTAATAATAAAATCATGACTTTATGGTACTACAAAATCTATACTTAATAAAAATAAGAAATATTAAATCAAATTAATAATTGACTTAAGTTTCAAAACTAAATTAATAAGTAAGTAGTCAATTTAAAAGCATCATGATTTTCTACTTGGGAAGCTACTACTAATTACATTTAAATTTGTTTTCAAAAGTTCTATTTAAAAATAATTAACTTGTGATAGTCACACTTGATTAAGGGTGGATTGACTTCTTTAGTGCGGTCTGAAAATTATATTTTTAATAGCAAAAAAAAAAAATCCTTAATTAAATTTTTTTTTAAATAATTTATTCATAATTTTTAAACAGGCCATAAGAAATCTCATGATTTACCAGTTCACCCTTGTCTTTGATATAAATATATGTCTAATGATTAGATTATATAAGGTCGATCTTAATAAATGTAAAAAATTTTTGGTTTAACAAGATTTTAATCGTTAACAGCAACATTTTATTTTTATGAAAACATGATATTTTAAAAATTCTGTTTGGATAAATTTACTGTCTCATAAAAAAGTGGGGGTATGCTAAAAAAAATTGTTAGTTTTTACGACCGACAATAACAATATAGGTAATTTACATCCCGTAAAATTTGGTAAAGTTATCACAAAATCATATAGACATTCNAATGTGGGTCAATTGTTTGTCATAATCTTATTATTTATATGTACTTTATATTGATTCTATTGAAATGTGTTATTTCAAGGTAGGCGGTGTGTTCGCGCTCGTTATCACGCGATTAAGCGATACCAATAATAATGATGGTTGCCGACCAATATAAGATCAGTTATGCTCGATATACGTACGCGCGCGGACAAATCGTCAGCTTACAATAAAATATTTAATAAAAAGATACAGTCCACAATTAATAAACATTCGTAGTTATCAATTTATTTATTATACATATTGAACCAGACGCAACATCCAATGCCAATTCTTTTCTTATCTTTCCCTACCACTATGAAAATGGATTAAACACCTCTATTCCAAGCACTCTTTTATATAGTTTAGGTATTATTCGTTTAGACACCAATGTTTCGGATTTTGATTTCTGAGATGGTCTTGAGTCCTCTGTCGAAGTTATTTCTTTCAGAAGATTAAACTCTAAGCGAGACAACCTACTTGTGCTCTCGCCACTTGTCGAATTGAAATTTTTGGCTCCGTCCTCACCTAAACATCTAACTATTTACAAGGTTATTTTCGACATTTCTCCAAGTGTACGCAGTCCCGTCCAATACGCCAAAAGTCTTCGATTTGGACACACTCAATAATTCTGCCACAGCAAAGAACGCTGTGGCCACTGCGGTCCGACAAATAATGCTTCTACATGTCTGTTCAAAGCAACCTTCCCACCCTCATGTATATTCTGTAAATTGAACCACCCCTCAACTGATCGCTCTTGCGCCGAATGGACCATCCAAAAGGACATAAAAAAAATGATGGCCACTAACAACGTGTCCTATTCTGAAGCTGCTCAAATTAAACGCTCTGGTATCGTCAACCCTGCTTACTTTTGCCAGTATGGTAAATAAAAATAGTATTTGTAATGATACTACTAAAAATATACAACATGTGCAGTCAACTAGCCCTCATCCTCATTCCAATTACACCTATAGTATTCCCTTCCCCCTTCATCACACAAACTTAAAAAAAAAATTATAATAATAATAAGTCTCTCTCCCAACTTCCATTTTCTCAATCTCTTAACTAGGTTTCCTCTTTCCCTAATGATATTTTTTTTAATTAAATAGTTTCTATTAACTCTTCTCATCATAATAACAATGTTTGGATTCCTTCTTTTATAGATCAACTTTCCCATTCACTTATTCAAAATCCTAACTCATAATCTTCCTTAGAATCGCTCCGCTCTATTATTGAATCATCTCTCCTTAATTCGAAACCTTGCGACTGATAAAAAATTTTCCTCCTTCCCCTATTTGGTGGAACTCTACATGTACGGCCGCTGTTAAAGAACGCTCAGTTTTTTTCTGTCAGTACAGATCCTCCGGTTCTATTTCTGTCTTTCTTGCTTATCAACGTATACGATCTTCCACCGCTCGCACTCTAAAATATGCTAAAAAAAATGCTTGTCATTCATTTTGTTCTTCCCTTAATCACTCTACATCTATTCAGGAGCTTTGGCTAGTTGCCAAAAAATTTTAAAACTACATTAATCGTCGCCCAGTTTTCCTAAATGAATCTTGGTTTCCTTCGTTTTGTAATAAAGTTGCGCCATCTGGCATCCCTTCTCACGAAGAATTAACACCTTCATCTTTTCCTACCTCCAGTTCATTCAATATTTCCATACATCCTTTAACTATGCCCTTCACTGCCAAATAGTTATCCTTTGCAATTCATTCTCGTTCCTCTTTAGCGTCCGGTCTGGACGGTATCTCTCCTTTGCTACAAAAAAAATCTCCCTTAATTAGGCTTGGACATTCTCCTATCAATCTTAAACTCTTTATGGACCAACTGCCTTACCAACCTCCTGGAAAAAATTTCACGTCATTCCTATCCCCAAACCTAATTCTTCCCTCTTGCTTTTCGACCTATTGCCCTCTCCTCGTCTCTCTGTAAAATAGTAGAATACATATTAAAAATAATCTCATCCCGAATAACCTATTCGATTTTAGGAGAGGCTTAAGCACTATGGAGTGTCTATCTTCCTTTATAAGATCCATATATGGCTCCTTTTGCAAAAAAAAATTCCTTTCAGCAAAATTTATAGATATCAAGGGCGCATTCGACTAAGTCCATATTCCTACTCTTTTAAAACGCTATTAAACTACCCACTTCTCTTTGTAATGTTTATTTCCTCACTTTTTTCTCATCGCTTCCCACACTTCTCCTCCCCTTCCGGGGTTTCTATTTCTCGTTCTTCTTTTCGTAAGCTTCCACAAGTGAGCTGTCTTAGTCCCATTCTTTTCAATATATGTATGAGTACTATCAGTAATGACCTCTCCTCTCACGGCTTCTCCTCCCTCTTTTATCCTGATGATATTGTCCTTTTTTCTTCGGATAATCACTTGATCACTCTGTAGCTAATCTCGACGACTCTTTATCCATACTCTACCAAAACCTTCTTTCTTCTTACTTCACCCCACCTCCTGAAAAGAATCAATTTATTATTTTTACCAGAAAACATTGACCTCTCTCTATCCCTATAGTCACTTTAAATGGTTATTTAATACCCCCCTCCAATACTGTTACTTAGGACTTATCTTAGATACCAAGTTAAAATGAGTTCCTCATTTCCAGTTCCTTTTTTCTTTTGAATCGCGCTGGTCTAATTTTTTCCGTTGTATTACTGGGACATCTTGGAAATCCCACCCCTCTTCCCTTTTATTAATTTTTAACTCTATTATTCGCGCTAAGATTGACTACGGTTCATTTCTTTTCTCCTCTGCATCATTTTGTCACCGTAATAAGCTTAATTCAGTAATGGCTTTTTGCTTAAGCTCAATTTTAGGCGCCCTTCCTTCTACTCTTGTTCCCAGCCTCGAAATTGAATGCTGTTGTCCTCCTATCGAAATTAGAAGCCGTCTTTTAGCGGGCAAATTTCTCCTAAAATCTATTTTCTGTCCTAAACCCTCAATATTTAATCTTTTTAAAACCGTTCGCCAACTCTGGCGTTATTTCCCCAAATCTCTTCCTATCCTTGCTTCTATATGTTCTTCATTTTCTCCTCTCACTAATCATATCCAGAAGTCCTATAGTCGTCTCATTTATAACTGTCCATACGAGGCCTTAATCATCACCCTTTCCGTTCATGTTCTAACTAATTTCCTAGGCTTCTCACCTTATAACCTTCAATTCCTTTCTTCGACCATTATTAATAATTTATTCTCTCACTATATTTCTACAAAGTTTCCCAACTCTCGTCTGATTTTTACTGATGGGTCTGCCTCATTAGCCAAAACTTAATATCTCCTTTTGCATTAACCTGCATCCCCTTTCTTCGTCTATTGTCAATGCACTTCGCTACATTCTGTTTCTCTTGATACCTCTTTTCTCATTTGCTCAGATACGCAGGCTCAGGCACGTAGCCAGAAAATGTTTATTGGAGAGGCCAACAATTTTGGGCCCTTATATCATTTTCCATTATTTGTTTCCCATGAAATGCTTGTGGGGGGCTCCCTCTACTCCTCCTTAGACAGTATCCCATTCTATGAATCTTATAAGTTCAAAATTTGTGTTTATTTTTAAAAAATTAGTGGATAATTCCAAAAGTTACATGATCAAGATTTTTTTTTTTAATTTATAGTATGTAACATAAGCTTTAATTTGACATGTGTTTAAAAAACGTACTATTTCCGGAACATTTTCAAAATTTAAGTTGAAAAAATTGACTATTGTGAAAAAGTTGCTATTTTTAATACTATTTTACTTACTCCCCTGTGGACGAATAAAGGATTAAATTTAAAAAAAAATTCTATCAAATGAAAGAAAAATACCTAAGGTTTCAATATAAAAATATACTATTTTGATTTATTAACATTTCAATAAGTTATGGCAGTTTTAAGTACAAAAAAACACAGCACAGGGATGATGTGGCATAGTTGGATCAAGTATAATGATATCTGACAGTGATTAAAATCACTATAAAAAAAAAACGCTTCGATGCAAATCTTTAGATAGTGTTTAATTTTAAAAAATTGGTTGATTACTCCAAAAGCTACATGATCTGCTAGTTCCTTATTAATATCTTGATTAAGATAAAGTATATGTCGAACGAGAAAGGGATTATTAAAAAATTTTATTTCTCATAAAAAAATTGTGTTGAAAAAAATATAGCATTATAAAGTTAAACATGTAGAATACAAAATCGAGAATTTTCACACAAAAATAGTATTAGGTTACCATTTTCCCCGTGAAGACAAAATAAAGTCCGAAATTTTTTTAAATAAAAAAGTACATTACATTAGCTTTAATTTAAGATATAGATAAAAGTGTCAGACTGTCCGGGACATTTTAAAAATTTAAGTGAAAAAAGTTAATATTTTGTGAAAAAGTTGTCATTTTAAATCCCACCGTGGGCAGGTAAAGGATCAGATTTATAAAAAAAATACGATACGATTTGTGATCTTTTGACGTATCATTGAAAGAAATCGGTTCGGTGAGACTGAGAAAAAGTTGTAACAGACACAAAAAAAAAATTAAAAAACACATCATAGTAAAACCATTACCTTCTCAGCTTCGCATCGAAGCTAATAAAATAATGATGTGAACATAAGCTGATTTAATTTTTCAACTTTTAAGCTATTAAGAAAAAATAATTTATACCTAAATACTAATAACAAATAAGTTATAAAAATTTTTAAAATAAATATAAATTATTAACAATGTAAAATTTATTTTATTTAAAATTAAAAACAATTCCTGCCTTATTTTAGTCAGATTTTTATTACCATTATTTAGAGCACGCAAATAACAAATTAACAAAAACAAATAAATTACCTATTGTAACTACTAAATTATAAAAAAAGAAACAAATTAAAGATAAGATTTATCAAAAAAATTTTCATGGAGTATACTCTATCGAATTTTGTAATCAACTAGATTCTAATCAATGCAGATACTTGGTAGTTTGTTATCATTTTTTGGATCAGAGTTAAAAAAAATTTACATACAACCACGTTTGGAGTAACTACTATTCCATTTATTATTACGTCTAGAATGTCATCTTTTTCAAATAACGTTTTCTATGAATATAAAAGTGAAAATACAGCCATAATAATAACTATATTATTCAATAGTAATCACAAATTAATAATAATTTCAATGTATATAAGGCCTAGCACGTTTTTGATAATTCTTAAAAATAATTGAGTTTTAAATTTGGGGGGGCCGGCCTTGGGCCACATTAAATCTAAGGGGGGCCATGCCCACCCATGTCTACGTGCCTGCGCAGGCTTGTCTTCTTGCTATTAATTCTAACCCTTTTGATTCTCAAACTTTCCCCATAATCTTTTCAATTAGAGCACTCCTTCAGAAAATTTTAACCTCTGGTAAAGAAGTTCAATTCCATTGGGTTCCTAGCCATGTCGTGATCCACGGTAACGAGTTCGCTGATTCTGTGGCTAAATATGCATCATTATTCCTATGCTATCCTTCCTTTCTCCTCCATTATTCTGATACTCTGCATTATTTTAGATCTACTCTGATAGAAGCATGGCCTTCCATAGTGGTCTTCTCTCCCTAACAGCTTTGCCCGATGGCATCGGTCCAACGTACCTAGCCCTTCCAAAATTCCGTGGTTCCATCAACTAGATCTTACTCGCAATATCATTTCAAGCTTTTCACTACTCAGACTGGGTCATAACCTTTTACCAGCATTCGCTTACAAATTAAACCTGAACTCTGTTCCCTTTTGCCATTTACATAAAGATGAAGTCCTCGGAGATTTTTCTCACTATTTATTAAATTGCTCCTCCTTGGCGCCTAATAGGTGCTTGCTTATAAAATTTTTAGAATCCAATATAATTTCTAATTTTGTTCTATTGTACTAAATTCCCATTCTATTCCCGTGATTACTGCGATCATTTCTTTTATATTGAGCGCTGGCTGTACTATTTAACTACTTTATTATATATTATAATTTATTGCATATACTTTACTTTTATTATACTAACTAACACCCATTATTTTTGTAATTTACAACGCTAATTAATACTATATTATTTAATTCTTATGTAATTTTCAAGCTATAATATTTTCATAATAAAAGCTAAAAAAAAAAATAAGTCATTAAGAGCGGCAAAATTGAATAATCCCGGCCATATTCCTAAATATGACTCTGTCTATGGTTTAGTTTTATTGATACTATAAAATATAATATTACTTAAAACGTAAAAATTGTTATTCAATTATTATATGCTATATAGATAGCGCTGTCGTACATTTTCAACAGTATTATCGTCTATTATTTTGATTCGCGCCTCTTTAATATGATCTTATTTATCTTTTAGTACATCACGTCACGTGACACTTTTCTAATTGGTGAATTGCTACACATTTTACAACCGTTTTCAAGATTTGAATTATAGTTCGTTTTTAATCTTAGATATAATATTGTTACAAATAATATAATTTGTTCATTGAATTACAAAATAATATATATGTGTTAATATTAATATATAAATATTTAATGGATTATTAAGTNTATGCGTTAATATTAATATATAAATATTTAATGGATTATTAAGTTAATACAATGGCTGAAAACAATGAAGATATTGTATCAACAATTATTCCATATGAAAAAACTTTATTGAATACAATAGTTAAAAATACTAAGGAAACAAAGGTAATTTATAAAAGATATATTAAACTCAATATATTCAGAGGAAAATGAAACCATAAAATGATAATAAATGATAGGTCAATCTTAGGTGTAACTTAAATTATGATGTTAACGATTAAAATCTTGTTAAACCAAAAATTTTTTACATTTATTAAAATCGACCTTATATAATCTAATACTTAGACATATCTTTATATCAAAGACAAGAGTGAACTGGTAAATCATGAGATTTTTTAATGGCCTGTTTAAAAATTATGAATAAATTATTTAAAAAAAAATTTAATTAAGGATTTTTTTTTTTTGCTATTAAAAATATTATTTTGAGACCGCACTAAAGAAGTCAATCCACCCTTAATCAAGTGTGACTATCACAAGTTAATTATTTTTAAATGGAACTTTTGAAAACAAATTTAAATGTAATTAGTAGTAGCTTCCCAAGTAGAAAATCATGATGTTTTTAAATTGACTACTTACTTATTAATTTAGTTTTGAAACTTAAAAGTCAATTATTAATTTGATTTAATATTTCTTATTTTTATTAAGTATAGATTTTGTAGCACCATAAAGTCATGATTTTGTTATTAATACAGATTTTATTAATCCATCGGGTCATGGCAAGTTTTCCAGTATATCCCAAGTCTAATATTCATAGTTCCAAAAATAATTTTTAAAAATAACATAAACAATTGTAATATTGTATATAATTTTAAATATCATAGCTTTCTAGGTATCCAATAAATTATTTTTATTTGATTTTGTATTCATTCAGTTGTAAAAATTACTAATATTAATTATATTCATTTATTTTTTTATTAGTATCCTGATATAAGTGATTTCAATGTTATTAAACCTATTAGTAAAGGAGCTTTTGGGTAAGTAAATAACCTGGAAACTTATGACTAAAATGTAAAAAAGAAAAGATTGTATGTATATAATATTTTACAAAATCATGAATTTTAAATTATAATATAATTTCATAGTAGGTGATTATTGTGAAGTAATAAAATAATATAAAAATTATTTGAAAATTTTTTCCTTTCTTTGGTACAAATACTTTAGAATTTTCTTTTGTCTTATGAGGATAGCGTTATTTTCTTATATAGCAACATACATAATTGACTAGTTTATACATTAAACATTGATTATGCTATTATTACAGTTTTATTATAAATTTATATAATTTTCCTTGAAACCAAACCCTCTTTTTTCAAAAATAACAAATTTTCTAAGGTATGAATATTTTTTAGTTTTGGATGGTAAATTTGTGGCATATTATACAGTGCCTTGTGTTTTATTACATATCAATAACCTCTGTTCTCTTTCCTACACAAAGTATTGAAATATATAAAATAATTACAAATTTTTAAACATCAATTTTCAATATTTTTCACTTTTTAATTCTACTTTTACATTTTTTCATTGTGCTTTAAAAAGAAAATGAAATTTTGTATTTTATAATAATGAATTCTCCATGGAAGAGGAATAAGAATACTTCCTAAGAGTTGACTAATGAAGTTGCGTCAAGTCGATAGCTGGTGTAAAATTTTGTCAAAAAGTATGTAGGTCTTAAACAGAACATAGGCAAATTGTCCCATCGCATATGTACTTGGGAACAATAAGTGAAAGGAAATAAAATAGTTAGAAAAGGCCTAAAGAATAAAGTATTTGATACCAGATGGACAACTTGTATGGTAGCTGTTTCACCAGTCATGTGTACAAGCCAACGCTAAGAGTAAGAGAAAAACGGTCTAAAGATTATCACAATGTAAAGTTTATAAAAAGTGATGATAAGAGAGTGCTAACAAACGAAAGTGATGTGAAAAAATGGTGGAAAGAGTATTTTGAAAAATAACTGTATAAAGAGTATCATTAGAAACATATCTGTTATGAGGAGAGAGGAATCAGAAGCAGTAAGAACAGTTATAGAAATGAATGTTGAAGAAAGAAGAGGTAGAAGAAGACCAAAAAAGAAATAGAGGGAAGTAATTGAATGCGATATGAGGTCGGTCGGCTGATGTGAGNTGATAAGAGAGTGCTAACAAACGAAAGTGATGTGAAAAAATGGTGGAAAGAGTATTTTGAAAAATAACTGTATAAAGAGTAACCAAAAAAAAATCATTAGAAATATATCTGTTATGAGGAGAGAGGAATCGGAAGCAGTAAGAACAGTTATAGAAATGAATGTTGAAGAAAGAAGAGGTAGAGGAAGACCAAAAAAGAAATAGAGGGAGGTAATTGAATGCGATTTGAGGTCGGTCGGCTGATGTGAGCGTAGATGATGTGGGAGATTGTGTCAAGTAGAAGTTTAGAATAAGGACGGCCAACCCCAAGTAGTTGGGATTAAGGCGAGAAAAAAGAAGAAGATTTATAATTATGAACTATTTAATTTACTAGAAAAGTATATCTGGGTCATAAGAAAAATAATTTAGAACAGATGTATGCTATTAAAGTAATGAAAAAAACAGACATGATTAACAAGAATATGATAACACAGGGTATGTTTTTTAGAATATGTATATATATATATATTACTTTTAATTAACCACATTTTTTTTTTTTTTCAAATTTTTTAGTGGTGAATGAAAGAAATGCTTTAGCTTTAGCTAATAGTCCTTTTTGTGTTAAACTATTTTACTCTTTGCAGACTTCAAGCTGTATTTACCTAGTAATTTATTTAAAATATTGAATTTATACATTCTGGACAACTAATAAGAAATTTATTTAATTATTATGTCAAATTTTAGGTTATGGAATATATGGTTGGCGGAGACGTGAAGTCATTATTAAGTGTAATGGGATATTTTACTGAAGATGTAGCTACATTTTATGCTGCTGAAGTTGCATTAGCGTTACAATATTTACACAGGTGAAAAATAAAAGTCAATTATTTCATTACAAAACTTAAAACTTTAGCATTCATAACTCATGAATATAGTACAAACACATCTCACAGTATAGTTTATGGTGTTGTTTTTCTATACTCAATTAAATAAATTTATAGAAAATATATAAAATAATTTTATTTATGGTAGTTCAAAAATATATAAATTCAGTATAGTCAGGACACAGCATAATGGAATCTGTCATAATGGATTAAAATTTGACAGTGATTAAAATCACTATCGTAAAACACTTAAATGCGATTATACTTAAAGAAAGTGATTATTTTAACCTTCATTAGTTGATTATAATTTCAATACAAATTTAAATAATAATTTATCATAAATCATTGAAAACTAGACAAATTTTTTCAAGGAGAAAAGGGGTCTACGTTTTAAAAAATATACCTTTTACATTAATACTAAATTTAAAGAAACCCTCCCTATAAATATTTAAAATTTAGAGTAAAAAAACATTTTAGATGAAACTTATATGTAAGATTACTGTAAATAAATTAGCACAATTAAATATTTTTTTTTTTTTAGTCATGGTATTGTTCATAGAGATTTAAAACCTGACAATATGTTAATATCAGGTCAAGGTCATATAAAACTAACAGATTTTGGATTAAGCCGAATTACAATACATNAAGTCATTATTAAGTGTAATGGGATATTTTACTGAAGATGTAGCTACATTTTATGCTGCTGAAGTTGCATTAGCGCTACAATATTTACACAGGTGAAAAATAAAAATCAATTATTTTATTACAAAATTTAAAACTTTAGCATTCATGAATATAGTACAAACACATCTCACAGTATAGTTTATGGTGTTGTTTTTCTATACTCAATTAAATAAATTTATAGAAAATATATAAAATAATTTTATTTATGGTAGTTAAAATCACTATCGTAAAACACTTAAATGCGATTATACTTAAAGAAAGTGATTATTTTAACCTTCATTAGTTGATTATAATTTCAATACAAATTTAATTTATCATAAATCATTGAAAACTAGACAAATTTTTTCAAGGAGAAAAGGGGTCTATGTCTTCAAAAAATATACCTTTTACATTAATACTAAATTTAAAGAAACCCTCCCTATAAATATTTAAAATTTAGAGTAAAAAAACATTTTAGATGAAACTTATATGTAAGATTACTGTAAATAAATTAGCACAATTAAATATTTTTTTTTTTTTAGTCATGGTATTGTTCATAGAGATTTAAAACCTGACAATATGTTAATATCAGGTCAAGGTCATATAAAACTAACAGATTTTGGATTAAGCCGAATTACAATACATAGAGGTATTAATATCTAATATCTAATAAAATCAAAAACTTCATTTTCATTCTTAAAAACATTACCATAAAATTCTCTTTTTCATTATAGATTTAGAAATCAAAGATTTAATAAATAGTTCACCAAATGTACCTACAAGAACACCTGGTCAATTACTCTCTTTAACATCTCATTTTTCCTTTGTAAGTTAATTTAATCTTTCTCCAAAGATTAAATATTTTTAAAAACACTAATTTTACTAGGGGTCAAACGAAAAAACTCATTATAGTAGTAATAATAGCAGTATGATGAAACTTAATATGGATCAAGATGATGATGATTATAATAGTAGTCATGTGTCTGGTATTGTACCATTTCAATCAGCCAATAACACATTAGAAGGAACTACATTTTTTACTTGTCAAAATTGCAGCATTGGTACTGAATGTGGATGTAGTAAAATACAGGATAAACCTCATGATACTCCTTGCTCAACTACAAATCTTAGGTGAATGGTAATCTTAATTATTATTTTTTTTAATAAAAAATTAATACAAATATAAAGGTATCATAAATTTTTTTTGTGGTCATATAAACTATAAAAAATTGAATATTTATTTAATATTTCAGTAAAAGGTTTAAATCAAGAACAGATTCACTTAGACGTTATAGAAGAAGAATATTACCACTTCGTGATTTAGAAAATAATACAATGAATAGTTGTGGTCTCACACAACAAATAAAACAAGTGGATCTATCCCATATTACACCAAATACTCCAAATTCAGCAGTAAAAAGTGCTATGAAATTGAAGTTAGTTTTATTCTTAGATATTTATTCACACTGCACTATTGATATATAATTTATTTTAAAGAGTTGATGAACGATTAAGTAGTGGTCGAGTTGCTATTTCAACACCAGTTCAATGTTCTCGAAAACGTTCATATGGGGATACACCAAAAAATTTAAAAAACACTAGGTTCTGTTTACCTACACCAACTCATTCTCCATCTTTCATTAAACGAACTCACATGGTATTATTAAAAATCACAATTATTTTTTTAAATTAAAAATGATAAGTACATTATTTTTTTATTCATATTTAGGATGAACTCATAATGAGTCCTATTGCAACACCTTTTTTGCCAAAACTCACTCCTTATAGAACACCTAAATCATTGAGGAAAGGTAAAAGGGCAAGTGATGGTAGAATATTAGGAACGCCTTATTATTTAGCACCAGAATTAATTCAAGGAATGGAACATGGTAAATATGTATATCAAGATATGAAACTATGTCTTGATTAAAATCAATGTTTTCTGTAGATAAGTTATTACTATCTATTAATTTATTATATAAAATAATATTTTTGTTTGCATGAAAAACTGAATTTCACACATAACATCATTTTCAAAATAGAGGGTTGTTTAAACTTTTCTTTATAAATGGACAGTTTTATGAGAAGATGGTCAAGTCAAAAAATCAATTTGTGAAATATTTTTATTTGGTGATTATCAGGAATTTTAAAATTCAAATTACAATTTAAAAAATAACTTAACTGCCTATGGAAATAACATTAATTGATGTTGCTTAATACAGTGTACATTTTTTAATAAAATTGATAAAAAATAAATAATTTGAATTCACCACCCCTTCAACAAATGACCAAATTATGTCCACATGTTTAAGTATAGAAATTTTTAACAATTCTCTAAAAAAACATGTAATAGTTAGAGAATTAAAAAAATTTGTAGCAATGCTGTCCTACAAGTAAATTATTTATAATACCTAGTAAAAAAAAATTTAAGGATCTGGAGTTGATTGGTGGGCATTGGGAGTGTGCTTGTATGAATTTATGACTGGCGTTGTTCCATTTGAAGGAGATACAGTTCAAGAAATATTTGAAGATATTTTACGACGTGGTAAATAAATTGTATATATAGTTTGATTAGTGTAGAACATTACTTTTGGTCTTGTTTATTATTATTTTTTAATATGTTAATTTGTCATTTTATATGTATAGAAATTTTTATTTCTTATTAAGACGACAGTATTTAAGTTAAAATACTGACTTTTACATTTTTAATAAGGAAATATTTTATGAATAAAATATAAATGAAACTATATTGTTCTCATAAAACAATTAATGAATATAGAATTAGAATGGCCATCAGGAGATCAGACTTTGTCTAGAGAAGCAATGGAAGCTATTAATGGTCTTATGGCTATGGACCAAAATGAAAGATTGTCGGGATCCACCATTAGATCCTCTACTAATCTTTTCTCTGACATTAATTGGGACAACCTTTTATATGAAGTTCCTCCATTTGTTCCAACTCCTGGTAGTATAGATGATACATCATATTTTATGGCTAGAAATGAGCAACAAAACATACAACTATCCAACATTGATTTAGGTTAATGTATCAGTAATTATCGTGTCGAATGATCCTAGATTGTACTATTTTTAATGTACTAATAGGATCTAGATAATGCTATTATTTGTACTTGATCATTACATTTTTTTTTTTTTATATATATATAAAGTTAAATACACATGTCTTTTTGATGTTATACAATTAACTATTATTGTTAAGTTTAAAAAATAATAGTTAAAAAATACAACTTAAAATATACAGAATTATTTCACTTCTCTTTAAGATAAAATGTATTTAACTACCATCATACTTTTTTATACTTAGATTAAGTTGTATATATTTAGATATCAAACATTTTAATAATAAAATGATTTATTCCTTGAATTATTTATAAGTATTACTTATTTATAAGTTAAACATACTGTTGACAAAATGGAATAATTATTCTGTAAATTTTATTTCTGAAATCACAATTAAGTGTGCTTAGTATTTATTAACTTATTAATTCTATTGTATATATTATTTATTCAATTCTAAGACATAATGATAATAAAGATTAGCAATTTATTATTATTTGTATTAAAAAAAGGCGACATAAACAACAAAAACAGTGGATTTGTTAAAAAAAGTAATAGTTAATGAGTAATAGAAAATTTTTCTCTTAATAAAAACTTAATTATCATTAATTATATTATCAGTTTTTGAAATTGACTTTTAATAATAACTATATACAAATAGCCACTGGGTATAATCTAGTTCATATTTTTAATTATGGTAAAGCAAAAATATATTTATTTATTGAAGCAATTGCAAAAAAATATTAACTTAAAATACACTATAATCGTGCATATTATTTTATGCAATTCTTGTGATGTTTTTTTATAAAATGCTAACCAAATTAATTACATAACAAAATAATGTTGAATTACTAATAGGTATTTATCATTTAATAATAAAACTATATCTGGAAGTTGTTACATACTTTCTACAAAAACAATAATAAACGTAATAGTATTTATAAACTTAGTAGCATTACATTGTGAATTACATAAATTAAAATACACAACCTTATTAAATAATATAGTCTAAGTGGAATGTTAAAACTGGTAAAAAATTGATTAATAAATATATATATAATTATATATTGAAAAATGTTTTTCATATTTTAAAAGTAATCTTTATATTAGTAAATAATTTATAATTGTTACCGTGCACTAGTTTTAAAATTTATGTAAAAAAAAAAATTTTAAACTTAAAAAGTATTCACATTTTAAAATAATAAAGAAAAAGGAATTTTTAAATAAATATTATTCTAGTTTAAACAAATGTAAAAGAATAATAATTAAATCACATTTTGAATATGAAATTATTATATNTAAATATTATTCTAATTTTAACAAATGTAAAAGAATAATAATTAAATCACATTTAGAATATGAAATTATTATATTACAACTAGAATAAAAATCCATAATACATATGTATTTATTTGTTTTGAAAATATTTAAAAACGATGTAAATAAAACAGTTGTCACAGAAGCATTTAATTTATAAAATTCATCATTAATCAATAGAAAAATAAAATCCAAAATTAGATTTTGATAGGAATTTATAGACTGATTTTCATAATATATACTTAGATATACACACACATATTTATACTTTTTCTGAGCCTACATAAATTATTTAATAAGGAATAATCGGTTTTATTTCTAAATATTGTTAAACTAGTATAAAATCTAAGTAAAGTTAATTAAGTAAATAATAAAAATGTTTTTTGGGCTTGCATAAATACTTAGTACTTAGGTCTAGAATGATTTACTAGTTGTTACTGTTAATTGTGATTAAAATATGTATATCTAAGAGAAAAAATTTAATTAACCTATGCTCATTAAAGCATATTCAATAATTTATAAAATAAATTATGCTTACTACTCCCTAACAAAGTTAAATTAATTGTGATACATTTAATTTTTTTTAATTGTATAAAAATGTATTCAATAATTAATTGTTCAACATTAATCAAATTTTTGTTCAAAATAATTCTTATTATTGCACTTTTTATAAAAAATCATTTGATGATCCATGTATGTGATCGTAAGATGAACACTGGTATGCCATAGTAGAATAAAATTATGTAGTGGAAAGTAAGTAGATAATAATAATTTTGTTTTAATTCTACTTCTGTTGACCATCTGTTCCAGATTTCTGTAAACACAAACACAACTATTTTGAACATGTATTATTACAAAAACTATAATTTCAAGTGTAATAGTATTTCCTAAATGAAACATTTACTTAGATATAATATATAATAATGATAAATTAATTAGTTCAGTAGATAACAATCANTTGAACATGTATTATTACAAAAACTATAATTTCAAGTGTAATAGTATTTCCTAAATGAAACATTCACTTAGATATAATATATAATAATGATAAATTAATTAGTTCAGTAGATAACAATCAATGTATTTAGAAAACATTCTTTATTTTTTAATCTATTTTTAAATAAATTCATTTTCTTTGTTGTCTAATGCCAAAAGACTTGGAAAAGTAGGGAGGCATTTTCTATTTGTTAACCACAAATAAAGGAAAAAATAATAAAACTATCAAATTAAATGTTTAATCTCTCAATTCTACAATAGATATAATTCAAAATTAAATTTGTAATTGGTTTTCTAATTGATCAACTTCATTACTTAAAATAATATTTTGAATATTTACAATAAAAATTTTTATTATAGAAAAAGCAATAAAGCTTTACAAAATAAATAATATATATTGTTATATATATATACATATATATATAATACTTTTTAATGTAAGAATAATAAAACTAATAATAATAGATAAAATATGAAATTTTTAATGCATAAAGTCCCACAGCCACAGCCTCGATAAAATCTTTCTGGACAAATAAAATCAGGTAGAAGAGGAATTGTTCAGACCTAGAGCACTGAAGAGCTTTGTTTTCAGGCCGCCTTGTTTGCCCAAGTCAGTCCCGCTCTGTCATAACAAATATAATCAATAATCTTATAATTGTCCCACTCAAAATTATAAACTTTAGGATATTAAAAATTATAGGGCATAGTTAATAAAGAAGTTTCGAAATAAAACAAATAATATTAAATTAAAAAAAACAGTTCTACCATCATTTAAATATTTTTTCATTATCATTGAAAATATTCATCACAAATTAATCTATACATCTATAAAATATTTCTTCTGAAAAACTGTTGTAAAATTATTAAAATATAAAGTATTTAAATATTTCTTCATGCATACAAACCTCGTCCATTTTAGTTCCAGGGGAACTAGTGTCATAATCTAAAGATTCTCTAGAATCAATCAATCTACTTGATCGATTCCTTCTATCACTATTGTTTACATTATTATTTGAACCACTAAGAATTTGTGCAACTTTAGCTTGTTTTACAATATCAAAAGCCTATAAGTTATTTACAAATATTTATTAATTACTACAATATCAGTCAATAACATTTATATAATGATAAATATATAAATTCATACTTCTTTTCGAGATCTTAAAGCACAATCTTCTAATGTTTCAGCTGCTTCATATTTTCCTTGTCTTCTATACAGAGCTCCTAAATTTTTAAGGGTGGTAGTTACTGTGGGTGAGTCAACTTTAGCAGCCTTATGCCAACCACCATATTCTGTATAAGGAGCTGTACCACTATTTTTGTTTTTATTCTCTTCTCTTTCTTCAGCAACCTGCCAAATAGGTTTGTTGTCGCCTGAAATAATACATCAATTTTGTTCATTTAGGAACAGCTTTAGGTATAATTACATATGATTTATATTTATAATTAAAACATTGTATTTTTAGCATAGCTATTCATAATAAATAAGAAAGATAAATAACTATGTTTTAACTCAAAATGATTACCAAACATGAAATTTAGAATTTCAGTAAAAATTTACAGAAATTAGTCTTTTTAAATTTATCATTGCTTAATGTGAAAATTTTTTTAAAAAAAATAGAAACCAAATATTTTGAAATTATGAAGTATATAATTTATTCTTTGTCCATAGAAGGTTTATACACCAAGGAACATCTTAATGTTTCATTATACTTTTAAAAATATTATTAAACACTGAAATAGTTTAATATTTTTGATGACTTATAATATCAAATGACAAATAATATCATTTCTGTAATACTACAATATTATAACCTGGTTATACACAGATATACAACAAAATTAAAAAAATAAATTGTAGTTAAATAGTCTCCTCAATTCATAAAAAAATTACAAACACATCAATAAAACTCACTCAATCACCCAAATCTTTGCAACATATTAATTAATATTTCATAATAAAACATATTGTGAATGAATAGCATTAAGAGATATTACTGATCATATATGGGTGCATTTAAGATTGTATCTCATAAAAAATAAAATAAAATTATAACAATTTTTTTTAAAAATTAATATATGATAACTTTTAAACTATTTTTAATACGTATTAAAAAATTAAAATTATCATTTAATTCTTCTTTTTTCATTTTAACAATATATTTGGACGTTTCTTATGTTTTACGTTAGACATATCAAACAGAATAACTTTTCAAAACACCAAAAAACATTTTTACATAATAATAAATGTGATTTAACAAAATAAAAGTATAATACAAGAATAACTAACCTACTTATAGGAATAAATATTTCAGTAAGAAAATTCCAACATAAAAAATAAATTAATTGAATATGATGAATTTGACTTAACTATCCAATGACAAACTATTTGTTTTCTTTTAACTTAAATGTAAAAGTGTATTTAAAAAGAAATAATAAATACTTCACAATATAAATTAATTAAATAAACTATAAAATGTAAAAAAAATAACAAAAGCTCTACTACACATGATAGAAATAAAGATTTAATTTCAATCATGAAAAAGCATCATTGTTTTGGCAAAAATACTATAATATTTTTCAAAAAAAAGTAAGCTCTAAATAATATCACACCATCATAAAATTTTTTTGAATAAATACATAAAATAGCTTATGATTAAAAAAATTATAGAATTAAATAATTTTTTTAATGATAAATATATAAAACATTAGTAAGTTATATTAAACATAACTAATTATCATGCAATATTTGGTATAAAAATAAAAAAAAAACTTATTTGCAATAAAATTTTAAGCAAAAAATATTTATTTTATTTAAAATATTGAAACACAATAATACAGTATATATAATTAAAGTTGTTGTAGTAGTATTAAGTATTAGTATAAATATTTTAAATATAAATATATTTGAATACTACACAACACAGGAACATTTATAACTGATAAAAATATAATTAAAAATCAGTAATGTCAAAAATGAATAAAAATTTTAATAATGCTTTTAATAACACTGCGAACCATAGCATAATGTTTTATATATATATTAAAAAAATGTTGTAGTTAAAAACGATTTTAATAGTTTAGTTTGTAATATATATTTCTGAAATTCATTAAAATCAAATTATTTGTGTATAAAATAAATCTTTATTTAGATATTAGTTACATTTTTTATTTAATCAGATATTTTAGCAATCAACATTATTTTACAGGTCAAATTCATAGCTATGATAATTTAACATTTCTTAAAATATGATAATTTATTCATTATATAAAATATTATATATTGCAAACAATATTATATTAAATTTAAAAGGTTATTTAAATAATTATTTTCATAAATATAATCAAATAAATTCTATATATATTTAAATAAAATGTATACTCAAATATATAGGTTATCCATAATTGTAATTAAACAAAATATTTCTTTGGTAATTGATAGAGATTCTAAACCATAACATAATTAAATTATCTTAAAATGTCAACATATAATCATGTTTTATGAAAAACTAATTAAAAAAAGTAATTATTTAATTTCAATTGCCTCATTGTTAACTCCCAAAAATAACAAGCATAAATCAGTACTAAATTAACTACTAATGCAGTTAAAAATATAACTAATAACTAACATAATAGCAAGTGCAAATTGCTAATCTAGTACAAAAAAAAAAAAAAATTATAAATAAATAATAAAGATCTCTAAGTAACATTTTTCTATAGATTGAAAAAATAAAAAAATTAATAGGAATGTGCGTTATTTACCCAGTAACCAATTTTATAACTTATATAATTAATAACATAATTTTATATTTTAGAATTATTATTATTAGCCATTGTTGCCCATTCCTTTTCATCACCTAATAAAAAAATGTAAATTCACATTTACCCTCAAATCCATAAAAATTTAATGCTTGAATAAGTTGTACATTTACATGCAATTTTTTTTAAGTATTTTTAAAATAAACAAAAAAAAAAGTATTTAAATCAAAACTACTATTGTCAGTAAAAAAAAGTAACAAAAGTATTTTACTTGCCATCAATTGTTCCAAACTCTCTTTCATGAGCTCTGGTCAAAACTTGCTTGTAGAGAATTTCAGCTTCCTTGTATTTACCTTGTTTTAAGTAACATGATGCTAAATTATTTTTTGTTTTTGCAACATTTGGATCATCAGGACCTAGTTTTTTTTCATATATTTCTAAGGCTCTTTGGTAATAACGCTCAACTTCTTCATATTTACCCTGTAATAAAACANAAGGCTCTTTGGTAATAACGCTCAACTTCTTCATATTTACCCTGTAATAAAACATAAAATTTCTTACAAAAATGTTATTTATGATAATTAATAATTGTAATATTTTTAATAATATATAAAAATTTTTTTTTATAATACTAAAATATATCTTGAAGATATTAAAAAACAATTTTATTACATTATCTTATTTATGTGAATGAATGATTAATCTTTTAGACCGATGCATATTTTAAATTCTTACCCTTTTCCCTTATAAAGATATAAACATTTTCTGTTTTTGTTAATAACATACTTATTTAACTAGTAACTCATTCAACAGAAAATTATCCAAAATAAAAATAGTTACTGATCAATAACAACTTTTGAACCAGTATTTCTAAAGTTATTAACATTTTTATTTAAATATAGACTATAGGTGAGGAGTGGGTTACGTTATAATTATAGTTTTGCATTTCTTAACCACAAAAAAAAACATCAAAATAAGAGTTACATTTTAATAACAAATAGACTAACTTTGATAGTTCGACTTGAGTAGCATAAAATTTTACAAAAATATTAAATGAAATTTTCAAAGAATAAAAATCTTTAAATTTATTACAAAACAATAACTTGATTATAAATGGGTACAAATTAAATTTCAACATTTTTATTAACAGTAAATATGTAATACTACAAAGTATAACAGTGACCAAAATGTCTATAGTTAAATAAAATAATATTACATTTTTTTTTTATTAATGTATGTTGTACTTTTAATCATTGACATATATTAATTAAAATTACCTGGTTTTGACAAAGTAATGCTAAATTATTTAACTGTTTAGCAACATCTGGATGTCCCTTGCCTAACACTGCTTCTCTGATTTCTAAAGCTCGTTTACATAATGGTTCAGCATCTTTATACTTGCCTCTTTTCCCATAAAGAACAGCTAAATTGTTTAATGTTGCTGCAACCTATTAAGAAATAACAAATAATGATTTTTTTTTTTTAATAATGTAAACATACTAGCTGACTATAATACTTAGAAGTCTTAAATCAATAAAAGCTTAATAAAACTATTATGTGTACCTAAGCCCTTTGCAGACTCTAAAACCTTACGTCTTGAATACTACTAAGCTGACTACAACTGTCAGCTAAGGCTTAAGAGAATAATAAGATACAGAGTCATCAGGGAGGACCAGGGGTTTTGATTGTGAAAAAATAATATATATCATATAATCCTTGTATATGTATAAACATTTCATTATCACATTATTTTGTCTGTGAAGTTGTATTAACCTTCAATAAATATTTACTAATAATCATCTAATATGTTCACATTATAAAGAACATTGGTTTAATGTATACTACGAGTAGCAAGGTAATATTCAGTAATAAAGTAAATCGAAATTTCCTATCTTCAAATTTTATGATTTATAAGTGTAATTTATGAATATATATATAT